ATTTTGGAAATATGGATTTGTATTTTGGTTATTTTGGCATATATCCTCAACATTATATTAGTTATCACATATTGCATCTGATGACAGTTTTCATCCAAAAAAATTTTGTTAGCATGCTTTAAAATGAAAGACAAAAAAATAGTCATACTTTATATTTGTAATTTTTTTATTAATTAAAAATATGATGGGCAAATAAGTAATCCCATGCCATCTTAATAGATTTTTTGTACAATAACTCTCATAAGGAACATGAAATGCTACAAAAAAAATCGGTAAGTAAATGTTTGAGACTTGTAATGAAATGAAAATGTGGTGCACTTGTGTGATATCAATAGACTCAATACAGATATCTATAAATATAAAGCAATAAATACAAAAGTGCGACAAAATATATGTCTCTCATTCCAAAACACACTAATAGAATATTTTGAGAGAAATCATCATTCTTTATTTTGTTCATACAATTGCATTTTAATGATTACATTGATGGAAATTGGAATCAGTCCACTAGATCAAACTAGTACGTAACACGTGCATTGCTCGTGATTTTGCAATGATATTGTAAAATATATTATTTATATTTATTTTAATAATTAGAGTTTTATCTACAACTCATAAAAATTCAAGAATCTAACACATGAAAACTTGTACCGTACCATATTTCATTTGATGTTGTATCAAACCATAACAAGACAACAGTTCTAAGAAATGAAGCTAATTTTGTGCAATTTCTATAATTTTGTTCCTCTCACGTCGTCTTCAAATGGGGAAATTTGTTAGCACTCTAGGAGCATGAAAATTCAATGCTTCGTGTTACTATTTAATTGACGTTTATATTATTCATTTATGTCTAGTCCCAATCAAAAAGTGGATCCCAACAATTTAAATAAAAATCAGATTTTTAGCTATTTAAATTTGTATTTCTCTCCAATCGCCGAACACGTAAGATTGTGCACTCTTAGATTGTCATTTGCAGTGTAGTTGGAAAAATTTCTGGAAAAATTTGTATCAACATTCAATGACTCAAAAAA